AAAGGAGGAGCAGCAAGTCAAGGAGAGAGGAAGGCCGTGGTTAAAACTGCTTCTGATAGATTTTCTTCTAATTTTTACATGGATTTGTTTATCCCGTAAGATTTAAATACAGAATGTGGGATTTGAGTCTGAAATCCAAGAAATCGTATTACATAGGTTTTCTCACAATCTGTTGGTCAGTGAAAGTAAAAATGTGCCATGTAGAAATGAGAAATTTCTTTAAGGTTACGTACTGCTCTGAATTATTCAATCACTCTGGTATTGTCAAACTTAGAAAATGGTGCGTTAGTAAGATATTCACATTTTGTACTGGAGGGATCAAATATGGATTCTCTGTAGACAGATCTAACAGGCGTTATTTACAATTTCTGCACAACTAGGAGTATGTCTACACAGAAGTCCAGACTTTTGTCTAACAGGCTTGCCATGAAAAACTGTTTTTTAGGGCTTTAGAAAGGCCTCCAGGTGAAATTTTGAGAAACCAGGGAATCTAATTTTGAGCTTGCCAGAAATCACATTTTCATTGTTTTTAAAGAATACTTCTCTTAACAGAGATTTTAAGATCACAGCACTGGAAACTGTTGGTTTTTCCACATCTTGGTGATCCTGCATAGACTCCAGACTGCTTTATTGCAAAATAAGGTTTTGCTGTTGTTTCATAAAAGCCTGAAAAGAAGTCTCAACTCCAGTAAATTCTGCTGGGTCGCACTGTTAATGATGAGTGCGCTCATGTGTGTGTTTTGTTGTGAATATCAGCTTTATCTCATCAGTTCTAATTAAAAGACCAACTTTTTTTATTACATTTATGCAGTACTAAGTTCAACAAGGAGTTGTTCATTAGTTTTTCAACCCTGGTTTCAAGTGTGGGAAGGAGTTGCCCTGCTCTGCACTGCGCAGCCTCACCTCCAGCAATGGGTGTGGATTTGGGTGATACAATGAAAGAAGGACATAAAACTATCAGAAAGTGTAGGAAAGAGTGCTATGAGGAGCCTAGAGGGCAAGAAGTATGAGGAACAGTTGAGGTCCCTGGGTTTGCTCAACGCAGAGGAACTGAGGGAAGGCTTCAAAGCAGCTGCAGCTCCTCACAGGGAGCGGAGGGCAGCGCTGAGCTCTGCTCTGTGTGACAGTGACAGGGCCTAAGGGAATGGCATGGAGCTGTGCCAGGAGAGGGGCAGGCTCTACACGAGAGGATGGTGGGCACAGCCCAGAGCTGCTGGAGTTCAAGGGGCATCTGGGCAAAACTCTCAGACATAGGGTTTGACTGTTGAGTAGTGCTGCGTGGAGCCAGCAGTTGGATTCGGTGATCCTTGAGGTCTCTTCCAACACAAGGTATTCTATGGTGCTCTTCAGGTCTGAGCTAGCAGCAGACCATAAACACAGAGTGATTAGAAGCAAGATTGATGCGTATGACTGCATTATGTGAAAGATATTTTAAAAAAGAAGTAAAAAGGAAAAAAAGACTATGATACACATTTGAGACAACGTAACTGTAAGAATGTTGCAGGGAAATAAAATATTTCCTGCGCTTCTCTGAGACAGACAGTGAGGCGCCTGGAAGCAGAAAGTCTTTTGCTGCCCCCACATCTGTACAGCAGTGTAACGGCTTCTTCAAAGACTTGACAATGTGGGAAGGGATTCACCTGCATAGCTAAAGCAGATGTGAATTGCTGAGTTAACAACATAGGTTGCTCTGAAAGTAACACTTCCTATTTATTTCTGTGGAAATGACATCAGCTACAAAGAGCACAATAACACTATTTGATAGAACGAATTCTCAGCTACAAAACAGTTGTTCAATATTAAAAAAAAAAAGTTTTGATAGTTACATGCGTTATGTATTTTATGAGGCCTAAGACAATTCCTCTCCACTTAGTGCAGCTCAAGTAAGCCAAAAGTTCGGACACCTATGCTTTAAAGGAACATCAATTAATGAATCAACATTGAAATAATCAGGCTACTGACGATTTAAAATGTTGAGGCAAAAATCTGTTGAAATGACACGGTCATGCTATAATACTGGGAAGGAATCCTCTCCTTAGCTTACTCTTATTTCTAAAGCTGCTGGAAGACATACTTGCATGCCATCAACATCTTCTCAAGTGCATTTATTCCAGAACACCCACATAAAAAGGAGAGAGATCTTATTTAAAAAACATTACGAAGATATAACTGTTGAATCCAGGCTGCCAGAGAGATCATTTAAGAAGGAGAAAGATGGTCTCTCAACCATAAGATAATGTCATGGGGATGAATGATTATCATGAGATAATTTTATTCCTGAGTATTGTAAATCTCAGCTGTTTTCCCTTCCAACCCCAGCTCCATGGAATATGAGAGTTTATTACAATTTATTCTCTGCTCTGTATTCAAGCCAAAACATCTGGGTAGAAGCTATCGCTTAAAAAATGCAACTTGTTTTCTTGGACCTTGCTGCTGATATGCTGTGTAAATTTTGAGGTACAGCCAAAAAGTACTTTTTTTTTCTTTTTTAAGAAGAGTGCATAGTGAAATTTGTATTACCCAATTCTGATTCTTATTTGTGCCAATGAAGTAGCCTTCTTGACACCAACATTCACTCATCATTTTCCTTACTTGTTTTCCTTATTTAAGTCCTTGTTTGGCATCCAGTCAGGGAGAGAGATTATTTAAGTGTGTTCTTGAGGACTCCAGGATAAGAAGATTAGATCCCTCCATCATAAAGAATAATTCAAAGCACTTAAATCCTCTCAATCTTCATAAGGTCTGTGGCATTCAAATATTTTAAAGTAGGTATCCAACAGCTTGTTGTTGTTTTATGTTGTTGTTCTTAGGGAAAAAAAAATTGCAACATTAAATCCTTTTTATTATGATCATCTCAAAACTAATTGAGAACTGAGGCAGGATTTTTACTTCTATATTCTAACCCTCTGGCTGCAGCTTCTGAGTTGTTTTCTTCTTCAGAGCGTTTTGCTGAGGGAATAGATATACACTTTACTCTTTCTCTCAGGACTGCAACCCCTGCCCAATGGCTGCTGACAGCTGGTAACACTTTGCTCTTTAATCTCCAGCTCAAGTATGGATGTGAACCTGACAAACTGAAGGAGCATTCACATCCTGATTCAGCTCTATCATGCTTGTTTTGTGTGTTTTTTTTTTCTTTTTTTGAGAATGAACAATTGAAATTTTTTTCAGAACCTACAGTGCTTATAATAAAATAATGCATTATCTAGTATCTGGTTATCTGCAAAGTTTTATAGTATTTTCTCTTCATTTTAGCACACATGCTAAATCTGACAGTGAATTGGAAAAAGCTAGACCAAGGAGAATCTAGGAGACTATTTTTTTGATATCCATAGCTCCAGCCAAGACTCCTACTGTAATATATAAACCCAATATTCTAGCTGAGTTCCTTTCAAAATAAATGTGAAGCTGAGCAACATATGTCTCTGCTGTTCTTTCCACAAGTACTTGGGCAAGTATTGCACTTGATTAATATGCTCTGGGATAACAATTCAGTTAATTTAACCACATCTACTGCAGCAACAAATGGAAAGCAGAAACTCATCCTCATGGAAATTTCCCTGTGAAGTTTGTTTGCAAAGTATCCTTTATTAGAAGGATTGTAGGGGAGTGCTTAATATATGGAAAGACAATGACCTCCTTGCTGCTTTATTTATTTAATTACTCTTACAAAATAGAAAAGTTTAGCAGCCTACTTAAGATTCTTAAAGCTATGGAGGCATGCATTACTGAATATAAAATATATTTTCAGTTGAGGCAACGTAGCTGTCAGTTCCTGGAAAACGTTATATTATTCTTAGAGTGTTGCTATCCTTACAATTTTCTTATTTAGTAACTTCATCTCTCCATTCTTGAAATACCAGCATTGACTGAATTCTGATCACAATACAAGCAGCTATTTTCTTTCCTGTGAAAGAGTAACAAGGCTTTAGTATAACTTAACTACAAAACAAATCAGTTCTTTAGTAAAAGAGTGATCCAATGGAAGTCTCATGTTCCTTTATCAATTGTTTTGCTTAATTTACATGTTTTTGCTTATTTACATTTTTTCTTCACCTTTCTGAGAGATGAATCCTCACAGAGGCCAATGCTTATCCAGACTCATTGCCTGAGTGATTGGAAGTGAATATTCTGTTTGTAAATTAGAGCAGAATCTATCAAATTAAAGGATACCTTTTGCTTACTTAAAACTTGCAATTCAAGGCTATGATATTACAGGGGGAAAAAAGCCCGAAGCTTTATTAGTTTCACCTCCACCCACACAGAAAAGGACATTGATGCTCGTATGTCATAAACTAGAGAATAGCTTGGATTGGAAGGGACCCTAATTCCAATCCCTTGCTTTTGGCATGGCTGCTTCCCCCTCACTCCTCCCCCCAGCAGGGGCTGCCCACAGCCACATCCAACCTGGCCTTGATCCCCTTCAAGGGGATTCACAGCTTCTGTGGACAGCCTGTTCCAGCACCTCACTACTCTGAGTGAAAAATCTTCTAACATCAAATCTAAACTTCCCCTCTACAGTTTTAAATCATTCCTCCTTGTTTTATTCCTATCTGTATGTGTAAAAAGTTGCTCTGCCTCTTGCCTATAAGCTCTTTTTAAGCTCTGGAAGGCTACATTGAGGTCTCCCTGGAGACCTCCCATAGAAGAGGTGTTTCAGCCCTCTGGTCATCTTCATGGACCTCTTCTGGATCTGCTACAACAGCTCTACATCTTTCTTGTGTTAGAGACAGTATTACCTATATGTACATAAATTTGTGCATGCATTGGAAAGAATACACAGCTGAGCTATGAAATGCAGTGACCTGTTTCACTAAAACATAATTAAAACAACAAATGAATTCCAAGGTAGGTTTTGAAAAGGGCTAACATCTTTAAAAGATTACAGTAAGGTAGATCAACCAATTTTCTGGTTTGTGATCTACAAGTTAAACCTGAATAACAGTGTATCAGTACTACCAGGTCAGCTGAAATGGTATGAAATGTTCAAGACTTGTCCATTTTATTACTTGTGTATTTATTTTTATTGCATGAGAGCATCTGACAAATGAGTCCAAGAAGTCCAAAAACTGGTACAACTGATGCTAGAGTACTGCTGCATACCGTGATGTTCACATTAAATAAATCCAGTTTACATGTTCCAAGGGGATAAACTGTTTGCCCTATCATCAGAGGAACAAGTATTTAATGATATGCCAACATTTAGAGAAGTTCCACTGCCACTTGCTTATGTAAAATGAGCAGCGGATCTCATAAAAATTAAATGATTTTCTTTTACTCTTTTGGAAACTAGCAGCAAGCTCCCACTAAGAAATGTGGAGCCTAGTCCAGAAAGTGGTACTTCTGTCCTATCTCCAACATTATTGAAGCTGAGTGGGGATTAGAAGAAAAAGTTCAGCTTTCTCCAACTTCATACGCTCCTGCGAGACAACAAATACTGAGCTGCAACCGTAAGTTAAGATGATGACTAAAAGTCATTGTTTATATTAATTTCTAGAACACATAAGGCAACCAACGTAAAAACATCTTCCTCCAAGAAATTTGATCTGAAAAGATGAACATTAAATGATCATAGAATTAAGAAGCAGGTAAAGAGAAACACGCAGGAGGTCTTTCCAAGAATTGAGTCCTGTGAGTCATGGTTCATCTACTTTTGGCTTCTTGGTTGTGAGGCCATGTACAGTGCTACTAGACAGTAGATTGTCCCGCCTATTGTGAGAGCCATAGTGGTCCGATAAAGCAGCCTATCCGGAACTCCTCGTTTCAGGTGTACAGGCAGCCCATCTGCTTTCTGTGGGAAGAGTTTAGAGATAAATAGAATAAAATAAACACATATAGAAGACACAATGAACAAGATACCTCAGGTGAACTAAGAGACTTTCATAAGGAAAACCTCCCCTCTGATAGGCTACGTACAGATATACTAAGTGCTTTTCATTTAGCAAGACGAATGCAAAGCAAGTTAATTGTATTAGTTAAAGGCATTAAATGCAGGCAGAAAAAATATATTGTGAAATATTTCTAAAGAGGACCTGGGTGAGAAAAATAACGCTAACAAAAGAATGTGAAAAGTTATGTAGAAAAGGTTATTCACCGAGTCAGACTGATATATTCCAAGTGCAAGTGGCATGAAAGAGAAAAGGGTACATTATAAAATACATTCTTGATGTTTTTATTAACAAGAGAAAAAAAATATTTTATGAGAAGACTCAGTATGCTTAGAAATTGAACAGCTAAAACAAACTGGCTTTGAAAACCTTACTGTGCTCTTTTTAACACTGCATTAACAACAGAATCTGTAATATTCAAATTATTACACACAAAATGATTTGCTTTGCTCCTCCTATTCTACTTGCAGTCATATGCTTGGATTCCAGATGTAAAGTGCTTCCACTAGTCAAATAATACAATAAACATTTTTTTTAAGCAAATGAAAAGATAAACTTACTAGACTTTCTGTACTTATGCCCATGCAAGGCTGAGGAAGAAATACAAGTTATACTATACTTCCTTAACTAGAAAAATGTATGCATTGTAGAATGATGGAAGTGGTCAGCCACGTTAAAATAGAGCAAGATATGGATGACTCTTTCATTTTCTGTAATTTACTCCCAAAGTTGTCATTACCTGAAAAAGTTTCTGTAGGTCTGGCACCTGGTTTTTACCCAAGAAAGAATCAGTTGCTGGTAAATCTGAAGCAAGTTTAGTTGTTGTCCCAAAAACCAGAGCTGGGGATTCAGTGGAAACTATTGGTTTGAGTCCCTGCATAAATAAAGATTAAAATATAAAGGTATATAATACTTGTAAATGTACCAGTTGTCATGCTAGACAGGCACACTGCCAGTCATTACAAGGATACATTATAAAAATATATATTTGGTATTAAGACCCGTGGTTTAAACAAAACAAAAAAAAAAGTGAAAACTAATGAAAGACATTCTTAGCTACAACTTTGGACTTAGCAAGGATAATAGGAACTTTTTTTTTTTTTTTTTTTTTTTTTTTTGGTAGTGATAAATCTATAGCTATCATAAGCTTTTCTGGGCTGGTACTTGTCCTAAGTCATTCTGTTTTTACACAGAGTACCCAGGTCCTATCAGCAGTAGGTTTGGGAGAGGAAATCCCCAACGCTTGTGTCAGAGCGAGGAGACTTCTAACTCTTCCTCCCAAATATTCCAAGCAGTTGCTATATAGTTGAGCCTTAAATAATCAGAATGCATAGGTTGGAGGAAGAGAGGAGGCAAGGAAAAAGAAAATAGAAAAAGGGGGGGGAAAAAAAAAAATGTGAGGGAGACACAGGCTAGGTGTTCAAGGACACAAGAAGCCCTGAATTGGTGGCTGTTTTACACAAATCTAACATCCCCTAATTTGCATACTGCTGCAGCTTTTCGTCCCTCACGTATCTCTTATAAGTCAGCACAATTTAATTGCCTTTCAGTTCAGATGGCTGTACTCTGAGATAAAACCTATGTAATCCAGTTCGATGGATTAAATTTTAAGTGTACAAAGTCACTGTAGTCATGAGGTGGCCTCCTTACCTTTATTGTTATATTTAGCCATTATAGTTCAGCACATGACAGTGATGTTTTACATTATAGCTCCTGAAATAACCGTTTGTTTTTTTCTAACTTGCCATAAAAAAAGACATAACACTATTGTGTTAACCTGCTTGTGTTACATTTCAAATAGGAGTAATTGATCTTCATAGTGATCTATGTTAGTATGCAGCTAAGGCTGCACCTGGAATTCTAGTTTTTGCTCAAAGGACTACACGATACATTTAATGTTTAAGAAACTGAACAATGTTTTGAGCTGAGAGACCTGGGACTGTTTATCCTGGAGAAGACTGAGAGGGGATCTTATCAATGCTTATAAATATCTAACAGGTAGGTGTCAAGTAGATGGGGCCAGGCTCTTCTCAGTGGTGCCCACCAACATAACAAGAGGCAACAGGCAAAAACTGGAACACAGGAAGTTCCATCTGAATATGAAGAAAAATTTCTTTGAAGGTGACAGAGCATTGAAACAAGCTGCCCGGAGAGGCTCTGGAGTCCCATTCTCTGGAGATATTCAAAACCCACCTGCATGCTTTCCTGTACAACCTACTGTAGAAAACCTATTTTATCAGAGGGTTTGGACTAGATGATCTCCAGTGGTCCCTTCCTACTTCTATGATTCTGTAGTTTGTGAAGTCAGACTTGTATTATTTTATGCCTACATACCTGTAGACCAGGTATGTTATTTTCTGTACAGCTGCTTGCCTTGCTAGCATGAATCCCAAGGCAGATTTACATTTTCCTGACAGCACAAAAGAGTTAAAGATTAGGAGCACAGTTACTAGAAATAGCACCACACTTAAGTTTATAAATTTTAGGGAAATTGGCAAATCTGAATCACAGAATGAGAAAACAGAGAAACAGCAAGTTTCTCAACCAAGTCCAAGCAACTCACCCTAGTTAAAAGATCTGTGGTTAGTGGATTTTTTAATTATTATTTTTTTTTTTTTTTAGTAGGTACAAGCAAAGTAAGGTGTATCAGCTGAAGATAGAGCAGCATGACAAAATTTCTACGCAAGCTATGGCCAGACTTGAAGAACTAGGGAAAAGCTATCAGGTAAGATTAGATGAGCATTTACGAATGGTTCCATTACTACTGTTTTGAACACAAGCCCATTGTCTGAGTGAACAGTTTGTATATGTAATGGTCATCGCGGTCATTAACCTCTTAAATAGAAGCAGCAGTTTTTAGCTTTACTCCTCACCTGCACTAGCTGAAAAAGTTCCCATTTATTCAACCGAGCTGAATTATTCATGCTATGTTACATAATTTAAATAAGTGCAAAATGAAGTCTTTTAAGAATGCTAAGGCTAAGACAGAAAGCACGGTACAGGTCTCAAGCTAAGGGATTTTTTGTTAGTACCAGCAGTTATGTTACTGTCAGCAAAACGCTTTCTGAAGTAGCTGAGTAAGCATCGTGCAAAAGAATGGCTGTTTTTGTTTTTTTTTAATCTTCCTGTAAGCAAACTGCTATATCCGCCTAGTCTCTGAAACAAGGGTTGTAATGCTTTCCGTAGCTGCAATCTCCGCACGCACAGACCAGAGAGGCGGACGAGCGCAGCGCTGCTCAGCTGCCAGCCGCTATTCCGCGCTGCCTGCAGGGCTCCGGGCCGCACAACCGCCCCAGGGGCCGAGGGCAGCGAAGGTCACGCCCGCCACGGCGCTTAGGGCGGCGGCGGCGGCGGCGGCAGCGCTGTTACCTGCGGGTTGTAGGCGGCGGAGGCCGCAGCCCCGACGAGGCGCTGCGTGAAGCCGTTGAACTTGTAGTACATGGTGGGCACGCGAGCTCTCACGACCCACCGGCGGCGACGCGCGGCGCGGAAGGACCCCGCTCCCTCCTGGCCGCCGCCCGGACAAGCAAGGACCCGCGGGTGTCCGTGGCGAGCGCCTGCGTGCAGCGCCCGGAGGAGAAGCCAAAGGAGCGAGGACAGAGCGATGCCCACGCGCGCGGCAACACAAGGCTCGGTGCGCTGCGGTGCCACGCTGGAGCCGGGCAGGCAGCGGCCGTCAGGCACGGGGAAGGCGCCCTGAGGGAGGGCGGGCAGCTTTGCGCATGCGCGGCGGCTGCGGTCGGAAGACGGTCGGTCAGTGGTGCCAAGGTGGTAGAGGTCGATGGGGGGGAGCTCCGCGCCACGAACCGTGCCCTGTGTCTGCTTCGTGGGTGTGGGACAGTTCGCTCTGAGCTTCTTGGTGGTGAAAGCTTGCTGTGGTTACATGCGTCTCACAGCGCAAATGCTTATGCCCTGCGAATTGTCTGCCCTAGGCTGACTCTGGGGTCTCAACTCCGCATAATAAAAGATGTTCCAGTGGTAGTGCTTCATGGTTATTGGGCCGTGTGGGACCACAGGTGCCCCGTGGGTGCAGTGAGCACAGAGTGCAGCCCCAGCTGTGCCTCTGAGGAGATGTCATCACCGGGAAGGGTGCTGTTCCACTAGGTCCATCTCTGCTGTCCTCTGGAGAGGCAGGGTGGTGCTGCGTGTGTGACACAAAACATCTACTCATGGTATTAGGGGCATTAACCAGCAGTGCTGCATTATTTGCTCAGTAAGTAGGAGATTTATGAAAGCGTTTTGTAAATGTTACAGGAAGAATTCTGAAATCCCTGTAGCTTTAAAGACTGGGAAGTATAAATGAATTGGAATGAGGGCTGCATTTATTTTATTATTTATTTGTTTGTCTGTTTGTTTATTGTGGAAAGGATTTTGCAGCTCAGAATTCTGCTTATTTCTGGTAAAACTAAACTGGAAGATGAGCTTGACTGCAAATCTGCCTGTAAGAAAACAGAGATGCTGAAGATAGGATATGTGTGTTCTTTTAGAATGGAATCGTGGCTATGTTCCTTATGCAAACTGTTTCAGTCTGTTGATGTCCGTTAGAGCTGGTTTGTACCATGACTGCTGCGGACCCTTTCCTGAGGCCTGATTTTCTGCATGTGCACCTTAGTTCCCCCTGCCCTGCTCTTTCAGTATTTGTGAAGACAAATAGGTTTGCTTAGCAAGCTCTTTTACTAAAGTTGTGTCACATCTCATTCCTCTACATTTTGTTCCAGTGTGAACGCATCCAGAATCTTGGAGAAGGATTTTCAGCAGCTCACATATGGAGATGATGCCACTTTCCTTGCTTTGTTGAGTCCAGTTCTTAAAATGTTCAGTACTGACTGAAAGCTACAGAAAGGAGCTCTGAGGAGGAAATGAAAAATGTACAAATGCACCACTTTTTTTTCAGTTAACTAATTTGAGTTATAATACTTACAAGTGAGCTGTTGAAACATAAACCTAGGGGCTGTCTCTTGTTTTAGCTCAGAAAACTGAAGGTTGGGAATTCTTTGCCTTGCAAAAGAGATACATGTGAGGACAATTAAAATTAATTACAATTGGAGCTTCCATTGTTCTCATAACACAAAAGCACAGAGATATTCCCTGAAAAGGAAAATAAAATAAAGGATAATATGAAGCCTTTCCTGTTAACAGAAGAAAATTGTTTGTGCTTTAGGCTCATGGTCCAATTTTCTTTTAGTCTGTAGATGTTTGATTATCAGCCTTGCTGACAGGATATGGAATTAGTTTGTAAAACTGCTGCTATAGGAAGTAACTGGGGGCAAAAAAAGGCCACTCTCCCTAGCAGGGTTAGAGGAGGATGGGCCATTTCTGTGAACCATGGAAGTATGCACTGCTAATGTAAACAAAGTGTCCCAGCAGGAGGAGAGTTCCTGCATCAGACTTTAAGCTGAATTCTAACTTCTAAGCAGTGAGATGAACAATTTGTGGAGACTGATAACTACAGCTAGTCTGTTAGGGTTGTTTTACCTTCATCTGTGGAGTGATACTGACAGAAACTGAAGAAAATACTGGTCTACAAGCTATGCTGTAGTCTAATCTTTTCCATTTATTTTTCCAGAATTTTTTAAAGTAGCTGATTTCATACATGCAAATTTAAGGTTATGCTTCTAGGGGAATCGATTTTGGGGAGTAAATGGAGGAAGCAGAGTACCTTGAGTACTAGGTTTTTTGTTGATGAAATTGTTGTGTTTTTATTTTCAATTTGAGGATAAAATAAATAAAAAAACAAGACCTTGTTCAGTTGCTTAATGAACGACACCCTCGTATGCTGATCAATATTTCAGCACAGATGTCTGCAACTCAAATTCTGTGAATCTGCCCATGCAGATCTGTCCTTGAATTCCTGAGAACAACTGTGTGGGTGGATTTAGAACATAAAATTGCTGTGTGCACTTATGTTTTGTTTATGCAGTACTCATTTTTTAAAAGTACTAGATTGGATTTGTTTAATATTTGCCTTGTGTATCTGTGTGTGTATATGTATAATATATACAAACCTCCTAACTACATGATGATCGCCAAGCATAAGCTCTATTAATGTAAGAGACTGTGACATCGTAAACATGTTGTCTGAACCATTTTATCAACTGTAAGAAACAAATCCTATGCACAGAATGGTGATTTCATGATTGTTTATAAAAGCTACCTGAATTTATTGGTGCTTTATTGCTCAATTTACTGGATACATCACAGATGGTTCTCAGAAATACTGTTGTTAGCTAAAAGAGTTCTCTTCAACAGACTTAATGTTGAAAATTGGTTAAGATAGCTTTTAATTGTAAAGCTATTCATGTAGTTACGAGTATAAATTTAACCACAGTTTTTGTGCCTTTCTCATAGAAAAATCCTTCTGATTTTTTTTTTTTTTATTTTTTTTTTTTTTTTCTCATGAGGTATATAGGGTTAAAGGGAGCTATTTATCTTCTATGTGAGTTTAGAAACAATTTATTTCACTTTTGCTTCATGGGCACTTTCATCTTCATGGGGGGCTTCTGCTTGAGAAATACTTAGTAGCAATAGCAATTCTGGCAAAAATGACATTGTGTTGGCTATAGCGTATGAATGAGGAATCATCTTAAAGGTGTTGAATTTGATTTAGGGGAATCTATCTCTTGTCATGTAAGATTCTTTTCAGGTTTGGGGACAGAACTTAACTCAAAAAGACAAGTAAGGAATTGAAAACTTGGTGATCTAATTCTTCTAAACCCCAGTGCTTGAATAAAGCTTCTGGGGCAATAAGTTATGCTTTTAGTAGTCTGTTCCTTTGCAATTGTGTTGCGTGTTTAATAGCAGATTGGAAATTGTGGAAGCAGTTGTTTGTTCAAGGTTAGTGACAAAATATTGTTTAATTTTCCCATTTTCAGATGTGAAAAGCATTGTAGGGACCTCCAGTAAGTATTTCTTTCTCTTTTTCCCAGTTTTGTTGTCTCTGCTTTTTATTTTTCTCTGTATTATCTGAATTGCAGAACTGAGGGTAAGCTTTTCATCTGATTGAAACATCCATGTTCTCTGTCATTAAAATCATAATTACCTAAGCACCATATATACTTATTAAAGAAAGTAATCTTGAAATTTGTGTACCTTCTCTTTATGGCTTACAATGCTTATCACTTTTGAAACACCGTACTGAGAGACGGGATCCTTTGCACTTTGCTTTTGACTGATGAAGACAACAGCACTGAAAAAGCACATCTGTGTTTTTCTACTCTGATATATTTTTTTCCTCTATGACCAGAAGAGAAGTCTCAGTGTGGCAATAACTTAAACTATTTGGTCTTTTCTTTTAAATATTATATGTGTAGTGAAATAGGCACCCAGGTGAAGTGAGCTGTATCATTGAACATCTAGTGGTAAAATTTATCTTCAAGGTATTTTATTTTTACTCAGTTGCCAAAATCTTCCTTCATCTCTCTTCTCCCTCTCCCTAGGCTGTGAGTGTTTATCTCCAAGCAGTCAATAGTCCCCAGCAAATGCTTAATTTTTCAGCTTTGTTGTAGATACTGGGAGGATGATGCATTGTCATCATATTTCATTTCTTCTTGTCAGCCTTTCCATGTGCAAATGCATGAAGACTGGAGTCCAGAGATGACTGCATATTTAAGTAATATTGCAGCTAATTCTCTAAATGAAGCAAGATGATTTATAAACAAACAAAACAAAACAAAACAAAAAACACAAAAACACTGCACACAAAATACTCTGTGCAATTTGTGTAATATGTGACAAATAGACAATAGTATAGAGTCAAGCTGAGGAAAGATTCTCTGCTGTTTCTCAATATTAACAGCTAAATACAATTGTTTTGGAAATGCATAGGGCAATTTATAGCAGGTGGCTTGATTTGAGTGCTTCAGTCTTTCAATTTCTTGCCTCTCATAAGTTACTTATGAATTTATCAGTTGCCTATCTTATACAATGTTCTGAAATACTTGGACTTAATTTATCCTTTCCTAGCAGTGACCCAGACTAAAAGTAATCTGAAATAAACCTACCTGGAATGTACATGGTGTGGATGTCCAATCCTCAGCATCCACTGTTCTGCACTTCACTCCATCGCTTGTCTGCACTACTTCCCACAGGGGGCATAGCCTGGTAAGTTGTGGAAAATGGGATGTGAAGATGGATTTTCTGGATCCTGATGCCTACCTAGAATCACTGCTGCTACCTCTAGGGCACAATTCCAGGTACTGCCATGAGATACAGCAATTGAGAGCTGACTGAACTCTTGCTATACCCACTCAGAACGCCCAGCTTTGCTCAGATTATTTTTCAAAAGGCTGTACTCTAATGGGTTTTTGTTTGGCTGATTTGCAGAAGGGAAAATATAAAAAGACATGCTTAAATTTAGTAATACTAATGTCAATTGTGTGGTTACTAGAGAAAGCTCTCTCACAGAAAATGTTCTTGTTTTATGAATCATTTAGTACATCAGAGGTAACATAATAAAAATAGGTTGCTGCCATGTGATCAGTGTCTCCAGCTTTGAAAATTGAATAGGTTTAAAAATGTTTATTTTTGAAGATTGCATTCTGCCAGCAGCAGGCTCTCTTATGCTGTGATACATCTGTAACTCCCCTTGTTAATTTCCCTGCAGCATTCTGTAGCCTCACTGACATCTGTAAGCAGGTATCCAGTGTGCCAGTGCAGTCTCTTCACATGGTAGCGTAACTCAGATATACTTGGTTTTTGCAAGTTTTTAGATGCTTTCACCCTTTGTCTTGCCATGTTAAAGTGATATTTTTACTTTTTAAAATATTTTCATTGTCAGCTCTTGTATACCTGTCTGTGCTTTCTTACTGTTGTCAGAAAAGGAACGTGTAAAACTGGGTGTCCCAGCAGATGAAAAAACCCTAACAGCATTTCCCTGCATAGGAGAAAGAAATTGGGAAGATTCAGTAAAAGTGCAGGAGAACACTGAGAAAATCTGAAGTTAAGGGAAAGAAGGAAATGCAGTAGCAGCTCTGCAAAAATGGACTGAAGAGTGCTGGAGTGCTCCAGCTTGTCTGCTAAAGGTTTTTCGCAGTAAACTTTAATGAACCAACTCTGCCTGACTTGTCTTGCTTTGATTCTGTTATAAAAATTGTTGGTGAAGATTTTCATTTGGCTCAATGTATAGGATGCTGGGCTTTTGTAGTGGAAAAATCTGAGTTCCCTTTTGCTGGGAAGTATCAGAGCTTGCAGAAGCATTCATAGTGCAGGCATGTTCTAGTAAGAGTGCACTGTCCCGCTCTGTAGCTTCAGAGAGCTGAAAAGATGAGGAAGTATGGGAACTGAGTTTTGGCAGCATGGTTTTACTTGCATTTTAATTCATGTTTTCTTGATTGTTTCACATCCCTGATTTAGTTCTCCTTTTAGATTTTTGCAATGGGATTATGGTTTCTTGATGGATTCCCTGTGTCCTTTTGACAAGAGCTCCTGTTGCTTGCTTTTCAAAGAAAGAATAGAAACTTGCTTCTATGTGTCCTCAGAATTGCTGGAGGTGGTACTACCTTGACCCCAATTAAATTGCTCATCCCAAATCAATTTGCCACCACACAGACAATATTATATTACTAGAATCTGAACCTACAGACTCAAGCCTCTCAGCATTGGCCAAACACTTGCCTTATAATGTAGAGATTACGCTAAAACAAAAGGAACCATATTACTGTAATTTCTTTCCATCTTTCTTTCTTTTTTGCTTTCACTAGGTTATTACATTTATAACATCATGTTTGCACTGCTGCAGTAAGAAATGAATTGAGAGTGAGATCTACTTTCTATCCTTACAGAAAAATTTTATGGGTATAGACAAGGGAGCTGTTCTCCAAACACCATTAAAAAGTTTTTACTTAAGGTCTGTATATACTCAGGGTAATTTAAGAGCTGGCTTTGCTTCGCACATAAACTAGTTTGGGCTTTGGAACAATACCTGTCTATTTGTTTTCACTTTTTTTCCTTTTTGAGTCATTTTGTCCCTAAAGCTTAAAAATTTCCTGAAGCTGGTTACAAAAAATCTGAAATAATGAACTATGATTTACATATTTGATGGGTGAAGAGGAAATAGGAGACATCATAGAGATCATATGGTTTATTTATGACTACAGGTACATAACTGCATGTTTCTGTAATGGATTTACCCTGTTTTTACTCTGAAATGTACCATCCATGCACATTGAATGCCTTTTGTTTCAGATCCGTGTGTCATCTTTGAGCAGTGAAAATGCTTAATGCAGAACTGTAGTTGTCATCTCCCTGCTGTGGTCTCCAAGACAATTCAGCTGAGCTTTTGTTTCATTCTCTTTTGAAAAGCAAATTAGTAAGGATTGTTTGTAGTATATTGTGCTTTAGAATATCAGGAGAAAATTGCTAAGGATGTTGCTTGGGAACCCAGATTCTGGAACTGACCACAGCAGACTTTGCTGCATATGTTAGTATTAGCCTGGAGTGCAAGAAACTGGCTGACATGGCGCTGACTACAGCTTCAGCTTGTGTAAGCAGCAACAGGTTGTGTTTAGTCTATCAACTGCTATCAACTGTCATGATTAAAAGCTAGGATAGGGACTTTCCATGCTGAGATGACACATGTCCATGGAGATTTCCAGCACTCTTCTCAAAGGAGATGTAACTTTTCTGAGCCTTTAAGTCAAAGCCCTTTGTTTGCTTTTATGTGTGTTTTGCGTTACAGCCTGCACAGACCAGTCCTTGGATCTCCTTACTGTAGATGCCATATGTTTTTTGGGTAGACATTATCAGTCAATGGAAAGAGAGAAAGCTGCTGAATGGGCTGGGTTGGTGCTAGATTTTCTTCTCTGTGATATGAAAAATTGCTTCTGTAGGCATACACTTCCGCAAGATGTTTAGAGAGAAATAGTAAATCACAAATTTGGGAATACAAATTGTCACAGCGTGTAACCTGAAGAAAGGGTTTAAAGTGTTTCTTATCAAAGGAGGCAGATTTCCACTGGATTATGCTTACAAGAGATGAGTGGACTGCAGAACTGCTTTTTAACACAGTTCCTTGAAGGAAGTGATTTATGGATGTACCTGCAGAGATGACAGTAAAACAGAAAGAAATAGACAGGATGAGAAAGCAGACCATTTCAGAAGTGTTTGGTATTCACACAGAGGCCAGTACAACTGGTAACAAAAAAAAAATGGGGCAGCTATGAAAAGGGTAGGAACCAAAGGGAGTTGGATAGAAAAAGTCTAGCAAAGGAAAGCAGAGATGTGTTCTCAGGAGGGGCATGGCAGGACATTAACAGTGATGGGGTGGAGGGCTGGAAAACACAGTGCAGCCCTATTGTGTTTGGTGTCTGGGAATCATCTGTATTGTCTGTTCTTAATTTTTGGTGAGTTGCTTTTAGAAAGGACTTCATAATTGTCTCAGAGCATTTTGCACAGCTAGAGTTAGTATTTTCAACCTCTGCCTATCCCTCTAGTCCCATCTCTTTTTTTTTTTTTTTTTTTTCTCCATGAATCAGCCTTCTGTGATGATCTTTCAGTTTGCACGACAGTCCTAGCCTCTAAGTAGTGATAAATGCCCCCAAGCCATGGAATATAAAGTAATGAGTCCTCAACTGGGTCTTAAACTGAATTCTTTAACGCCAAGTGAAAGTAAAGCATCCCAAGTTCTGAACTGTCAGTTGCTGCTAGCGCTGCTTCTACATACTGCTGGAAAGGATCTAGCCAGTGGACATGCCTTGTTTCAAGCTTGTCTGATTTGCTTCACAGATGCTTGGAAGAAATAATGACTTAGAATAATAAACCAAAAAATAAAGGGGTAAATACTGAATGTGTGTCAGCAGTGTTCACTGACAGCCAAAAAGACCAACCATACCTGGTGTGCCCCAGGCCTAGCACTGCCAGCCAGGAGTGGGAAGGAATTTTCCAACACCGGTCTGCACTGCGCAGTCTCACCTCGAGCAGTGGGCGCAGTTTGGGTGCCACAATCTAAGAGGAACATAAAACATGAGTATCCAAGGGAGATCTACCAGGATGTTAAAGGGTTTGGAGGACAAGGTGCGTGAGGAGCAGCTAAGGTCTCTTAGTTGTTTGGCCCAGAGCAAAGGAGCTAATGGAGGCTCATGGAGTCTGCAGCTCCTCATGGGAGTGGAGGGCAGCGCTGAGCTTTGCTCTCTGTGATAGCAACAGGGCTCTTGGGCAAGGCATGGAGATGTGTCAGGGGAAGGGCAGCTGGAGGTTACAGAAAGGTTCTGCATCAGAGGGTGGTGGGCATGGAACAGGCTGCCTAGAGCAGTGGTCATGGCCTCGAGCTGCCAGAGTTCAACAAGTCTTTTAACAGCACTATTAGACATAGGTTTTGAATCTTGAGTGGTCTTATGAGGAGCCAGGAGTTGGAATTGACGATTCTTGTGGGTCCCTTCCAACTCAGGATATTCTATTTTTTTGATATTACAGATCAGCAACATGGACATTCTATTGGTAATACCTATTCAGCTGCCAGGTTATCTAGTGTTGGTGAGCTTTACTGCAGATGTTTGAGTGGATTTGAGCGGGCTGCAGGATGTGAGGGGCCAGGCTGAAGCTGTAGGCAAAGGGTAGGATGATTTAGGCTATTCTGTATTGCATTGTAAAAGCTTCGCATGACTTACTGCTTTGCTTTGCATGACTGTTTCTTTCCCATTATATGTGACACTTATTGCGGAGGAGGAGAGAGTTTTTTAGCCTACGCTGACACAGAGAAATGAAATGGATATTTGCTCTCAGCTATCTAATCTGAATAGCATTTCAAATGCAACTGGGACAATCTAAGTGAAAAGAAAGCAAAGGTAAGAGGTGCCTCAGTTGTGGGATGTTAATGTTTAACCTTAACGCTCCTTGAGTGAGGATCAGGCGAAAAGAGAAAGTCTAAGGAAGCAAGCAGAATAGAGATGCTGAAGATGGTATCTGCTATTCAGAGGGAAGCCAGTGGGCTTCATAGTCCCTGGTCTTGCTGAGAATAATCTGGCAGGTACATGCAAGCCTTTGTCCTCCAAAATTCAGATGTCAAGCAGATTTTTCTAAAAGCAAAGCAAAATTTATCTTAGCTAGCTTTAATTCTGTACTCATTGTCCATCCCTATTTTTTTTAATTTCTTTTCAGATATATCTGATTCTTCAGTCTCTTGAGGCAACGTAGTTTAAACAGCTGTTGTGACCTACACGCTCAGTTTGTACCCAGCAGGTGCAGCCTGAAGTCACTGCATATAGAGGCAGGTATACGCAAGGAATCTATATAAATTTGAAGGCTATAAGCCAGACTCTGTAGCAGGAATCCACACTTTTAGATTTTAGTTTATTTTTTACTGAAATATTTTTTGTTGTTGAAGATTTTCTTTTCATGGCCTCTGCTTGACTGTGCTTAGAAATTAACCTGTTGGGATTGTTTCTCTTCTATAACATTTATATAGTTTCTATACAATAGCATCCTTACGTCGTGTCAAGGATTCAGGATGCTGTTCATATAAACTGCCTTGGTTTTACTTGTTCATAGCTTTCCATCAAGTGATTCCACTGACATCCAGTTAAACCCTAGCAACAAAATCATGGTGAGAAGCTGTGCTATCTTTGCACAGCTGGTACTGATGACAAAGGTTTTTCGGCAACATAGGAATAATCAACTTCTAAATGCTGCATCCTGTTTTAGCAACTGCAAAATGGAGGGGGAGGAGAGGAATTATATTTGAGTACTTAAAAGTATACCAGACTCAACAAAGTAGTGATGTTCGTGCTGCAGAGAAAAACAGTGTTGCTTGCTTGCACTTTCATCTTGTTTCCTATTTGGTGTTGTGTTTTGGTCTTGGATTATGGATTTTTTTGTTGTATTTTTGTTTTGTTTTGTTTGTTTTCTCTTTGTTTTTTTGCAGCAATGTTATAATTTTGACCCATGGCTATATATTACTTAGGAAAACAGAAGCCTGGTTCCTAGTTGCTACTTCAATATTGATGAAGCATGAATGAAAAGAAATAGAAAAACAAAAAATGAAATTTGAAGGAGTTTCTGGAATACAATGTCTGGAAATAATGTCATTTTTGAAGTTTTTGATTTTCTAGATTTTATTGAATCTCTTCACTGTCTTTTAGAAATTCTTATGACAAAAAAAAAATGTGTTAAATGTTCTCTGAGATAGCAAGAATCCTATTTTACTTTTTGATATTCAGTATATTTGTGGTTACATCTTGGATTGATAGGAGATGCAAGTGCTGAAGATGTCTGTAAAATAATGTGTTAAAACATTAAAAACAAGAGAACTTTTGCTTCCAAAATATTTCAGAAGTTCTTTTAACAAAATATTTGCAGAGCATGCTCATATCATTTATTTCATGTAAAAACTTAGAAAACTGATAAATAAGTGAGATGTAGAAATGCTCATGAGTTCTAAACGAAAGTCTGTTCGTTTTCATAATAATGCAGTGAGCTGATGCCAGAGTAGCTGATAATTCAGAGATCTCTTAAAATATTCAAACTTTTTTCTGAAGAACATTAGTTGTGTTCATTTTTTGGAAGTACACTTGAAATGGCTGCACTTAATGAATCACCAAAGTGCATCTCTATTCTTCTTAGTTCATCGCTTTAGCTCCTATCACGAGCCACAGCAATGCAAGCATTGCGCTAGGGGACTTTCTTGTTACTTTGTAGTTCCAGAAGTATGAATATATTTCAGTGAACTTGAAGCCAAATTTGATCAATTTTTCTAGATTGTTCTTCTGGAATGAAAATGTACTACATGGTTGCTTTTTCTTTTCTGTTTGTTTGTTTGTTTGTTTGTTTTTCCCAATAGTTCTGTTGCCCGTAATTATCATCAACATGGAACTGTTTGAGTTGGAAGGGACCTTTAAAGATCATCTAGTCCAACTTGCCTGCAATGAACAAGGAGACCTACAGCTCAGTGAGGCTGCCCTGTCCAGCTTAACCTTGAAAGTCTCCAAGAACAGGACATCCACCACCTTCCTAGGCAACCTGTTCCAGCACTTCACTACCCTTTATCATAAAATGCATTTTTCTTATATCCAATCTAAATCTCCCCTCTTTTTGTTTGAAACTATTTTCTTTGTCCTGTCATAGCAGTCCCTGCTAGAGTCTAGCCCCTTCTTTCTTATAGCCCCCCTTTAGATAGGTCGCTCTCAGATTGAACAGCCTCAGCTCTCTCAGCCTGTTTCATAGGAGAGGTGTTCCATCCCTTGGATCATTTCTGTGTTCCTCCTCTGGACACACTCCAACAGGTCCATGTCCCTCCTGTACTGAGGACTCCACATCTGGACGCAGTACTGCAGGTGAGGTCTCACCGTCACAGACTATGGGCAGGATCACCTCCCTTGCCCTGCTGACTTCTTTTGATGCAGCCCAGGATACAGTTGGCATTCTGGGCTATGAGGGCACCTTGCTGGCTCATGTCCAGCTTGCTATCCACCAGTATCCCCAAATTCTTTTTGGCAGGGCTATGCTCAACCCTTTCATCTGCCAGCTTGTACTGATAGTGGGGGTTCTCTCAACCCGGAAGCAAGACCTTGTGCTTGGATATATTGTACTTCATGAGGTTCTCCTGGGCCCACTGCTTAAGCCTATCTAGGTTCCTGGATGGTGTCCTGTCCCTGGGTGCACTGACTACATCACACAGGTTGATGTTATCCACAAACATGCTGAAGGTGAACTCAGTTCCACATTGATGAAGATACTAAAGAACATCGGTTTCAGTACTGAGCCCTGCAGTGCACCATTTGTCAGTGATCTCTGTCCAGAGATTGTTTTAATGCCATACAATTACTGTTGTTGAAAAGAATAATCCTTTCTATTGTTTATTGTCTCACAGTAGCTTGTGGATTAAATATACAGATTTTCTGTTAAGTAAGGCTTCAAGGTTCTAAATGACAAGCTTCTCAAAAGCCAAAAGTTGTTAAAGGAAAGTTTTTGCCATGGTACTAATATGAATAGCCACAGAATTTGTTAAAAGTAAAACATTTTATACAGTTAAACATGGTTGTCTTGACCTATTACCCACAAAAGATTTCACAAAATCAGTAAATTTTATTTTATGAATTTAGGCATCTAATTCTGTATTCACATCAAGAAAACATATCCGTTACATTTCCAAATGATAGCATACATTTTTCTTGACAGAGAAGCAAAGAATATATAAATGTTCTATAAAATTATAAACATTTGAGTTTGTAAAGAATAAAGAAGTTTGGCATGTAGTTGCAAACATTCATATTTTATTAATTTGAGTAAGGATTTATTTTATTCATCTACTGTGGCTCTTAAAGTTTCTTGTCAACCATACTATCAGTTGTGCTTGCTCCCAGTGCAGCCTTCTTGATGCTTATCCTATTACATCATTTGTAAAAGATACTCCCTACCTTACATTGCACTTCAGAGGCTATAGATCATATTAGTTTTCCACTATAAAAGTGGTATTTTGTTGTTTCTTCCACATGTGTTGGGACACGTTTTCAGCTAATGTAAACTGCTGTAGCTCTATCGAGGCCAGAAGACCTTTCTTGCTTAAGGAAGTCTCCTTACTATAAACAGAAATTTGTTTTATATAGCAAGAACTGGTGTCCTATATGCTAATGTGTATGTTTTCTTTCGCAAATAAATAACAGAAAATGTTTTCTGAATAATTTTGTTGTCTAAAACAAGTCATTATTTTTATTTTATATTTTATTCTGTTCTATTTTATTTTATTTATTTTATTTATTTTATTTTTCTTTGCAAAGCTAAGGTTCTTTTCTGGCAAACATCTTGTGAGCACACTGGAAAGGATAATATTAAAAACATGAAGGTACCTCCAGAGATCAAAATTCTAATTGGTTGTTTTATCCTGAATCTCTCATGAGGAAGAATGTTCAGAGCAGAGCAGATCTTGTTCATCTTGCTAGCTTATGGGAGACTCATTGCTTTGAATATGGAATTCAGTGTCTGCTGTGTGTGCATTGCTACTGCTGGCAGGCTCTTGAGGCTTGTAAGGTTTTCTTATCGTTATCGAAAGGGGAAAAGACAAGTGGTTTGAACACATAAGGACATGAGTTTCTTTCTGAAACAGCAAAGTTAAACACTAAAGAAGTTGGAGACTGATTCCTTCACAGGGACAAAATGTCATAGACAATACGAAAACCAAGTACCTTTTGCTTTAAATACATAGGTATCAAGAAAGGCATATGGGATTTTTTATCTTCAAACTTGCTGCTGTGTACACCAGCACTGTGCGCACCTACACTGTGCAGTAAGAGTGAATTCCATGTGTTTAAATGGCTATGATAATAAAACTGTAAAATCACCAGTTGACTAAATTAATTGGGATTTTTCATTTGTTTGTTTTTTGCAGGAGTCCATAAAAGAAAATATTATTTCACAGACTTACATCAAAGAAAACTGTCTCTCATTCTTTGCAGTTTTTGAGGATGATGCTCCATGAGGAATTCTAGAAGGAAGATAGATGTAGTGTGGGCACCTTTCAATAACAGTGATTTCAGTAATTCTCAAATGTTTAAGTGGCACTGAGTACCCGAAGGTCTGATGACCCAGTAGGTCAATCTTAAGGATCAAATCTGAAGTTTGATCCTACTCTAAGGTATGATTAACTTTTGCTGTCTTCGAGATGGATAATGGTACTTCAGAATCCATTGGCATTGGTTTAACTTCAGGTGAACAGAAAAGCTGAGTCACAATTTAAGTTGTCTTCATTTATCTTCACTTTTATTATTTGTGTTTTATCTAATCTGTTTCAATTGCAAATGTTTCTAATGGTCAAAGAGGTACCAACCATTAAATATTCTTATTGTACTGGATTAAACTGGCAAATACTAGAAATGAGCCAGTTTGTCCTCATTTGGCTTTGACATGCTATATTTTAAAAGAAAGCACTGTACCCAATGGCTGCATAAAAAACACACAATCTCAAGTACACTTTCAGTAAAAGTTTCACCTGTTCAAATATGTTCTTATTTTGGACCACGAATATAATTCATTTTCTTTACAGTTTCACTAAACAAAAAAATAAGAAAAACACTTGTCCATAGAGAATGGTATAATATATACTGCTAAAAATCAAGAACCCTAATTGCTTAGTATAAGATTCTCTTTTAAGGTTACTGTTGAGGTCGTGTTATTTCAACTTGGTTTCTAGAGAAACCAAAGTCTACATGCTGATAATCAAAACAACAGCCAAAAAAAAAAAAAAAAAAAAAAGCCCACCAACCTTGCAACAGAAGAACCAACCCAACAGTATCTCTTCTTAGTTGTCTTATAAAGAGAGCAGTTTCAAAATAATATTTTATTATAGCTGAATTAAAAATACATAAGGTCATTTTGTCCACATTTTGCCATACAAAAATTGAACATAAACTTTAAAAAAAGTATATATTTCCACAGTCTTATTCCTTTACACAATTATTTCTTTTTATACTGGGGAACGAATTCATTAGTTGGAAAACAATTCATAAAGGATCAAACATTTTGTTTGTGTACCAGATATAACCTGGATCTGTTCATCTATGAAATTTTCCTGTACTTAATTGCTTATATAAAATGATTCAAGAAGCAAATTGATATTCACAAGTTAATATGTGCGTTAATTTTTTTCCTTTGTACAGGCATCTAAAAATTAGATTTATGGTAGTATTGAGTAATACTGAAATGTGTTTTTGTCTTGGAATCAAGATTGCAACATACTTTAAAGTGCATTTCCATTGTATACTGATTTCAAACAATTGTCGTCCTGATGATGAGTTGTTTTGTGGGAGGAGGGTTCTACCTCAGATATTGATTTGGTCAATGAACAAAAGACAAAATCATTTTTAAGGGCATTCATTGGTATTTTTCCCAAGGTTAATGCTTGAGAAATAACATGAAAATCTGAAGGTAGGAGATCTTAACTGGGCATTGGTTTTTGTTTGTTTTTGTTTTTCCATGTTTAAAAGAAAAAATTTGGAGAGAAGTTTAAAAAAAATAGAAGTTTTCTCCTTAAAATTTGGATTATTTTTATACTGTCCAAATAAACTTCTCATTAGAAGATGAAAATATCATTTTCTTCAAACAGCTGTGTTTGGATTTAAGGTTGAAATTTCAGTTCTATCAAGGAGGAGTTTTTTTGTGAGGAGAAAATATTGCAACTGACTATAATATATAATATATGCAGGATATATATAGGTACACATGCAGGAATACAGAGCCAGCATCTCCACCGGAGTAAGACATCTGAGTGTCTCTGAAGTCACTGCTTGCCTAACTAACATCAGATGTGAATCTCACCTAAGAATTTTTTGTTCAACTGATATTCACCACTTTGTGGTTGCAAGAGCACATTCCTGAACTACACAATTCTGATACAAAAGGCATAAGTATAGCAGAATAGGGAAGTTTACAGCTGACCACCTGCGCACCAGAATGTGTCAGTGACAAGAAATGGAGGTATGTTTGTAATGTTACTCAATAATGTGTCCTTTAAAAACTGCTGAAGGAAAAGTCAAGCTTGTCTTTGAGAAAGCTGCTAAAATTATTTTCAGGTCTTCAGAAACATTTTATTTTTCAGTGTATTTCTTAAGACTACTTAAGACTAAGACCACATAAAATGCTAATAAATTGTTCAAGTCTCAAGTGTTCTTTCAGAGTAGAGCCTTCAACATACCAGTCACTGGACAATGTGATGCTTTTCTCTGAGAGAGCAGTTCCAAATCTGTGTTTTCTAGGTGGTACTCATTTTATTTCTAAAGCTATTAACAAATGCATATACAAAAGATGCTTCTACAGCGCAGTAATATTAAATGCATTATTTTAAGGCAAGCACACCAAATTCAACTATGCTGACAACTCTGAACTTTGAGGTTAGTAATGAGGTTCCTCACTGATGTTTATTGGTACCCGAATTTGTAAAGCTGTACCTAAACGTGTTTTAATATGTAACTGCACAGTTCTACATAGCAGCTTTTCAGAATTATACAGTACAAGGCTATTTAGCAGTACTACACAAGAAATGTAGTGAACAGCATTTCAGAACCTAACTTGATTCATTTTAATTTGTAGTTACACTGGAGAATATACCCTTTTGCCAAGTGCAACTTGCACTTCTATTTTTCACTTTCTTTGATATCTTTTGGGCAGCTGCTTTTAATACTTCCATGAAGTGTATCCTTGGTTAGGGACTGTGTAATTTAAAGATGATGGAGAGTCTTATTTGACAGGGAGCAGCTACTTTTGTTTTCCATGCTTTCTCCAGACTGTTTCAAGTGATGGTATTTTATAATTTGTCTTAAGAGCTTTCACTGTGATATAGATAAATGTTTAATTAAGTGGAAAAAAAACAACGCTAATGAATATGTAATTTCAGGTGGATGGAGTTGAACTGAGTGTATATAAAATTTGGATAGCTCTCTCACTAAACTACCTCGAAATACATTTATCAATGCCAGTACTTTTATGTTGATCTTCAAAAAGCACAGCACTTCTATTAAAGGTTTGATTCCAGAGAAGAAAGTAACTGTGGTTAGGGAGATCTTTGCCACAACATTCAGAGCTGCATGTACTTCTGCTAAACATTGCTCTGAATGATATAAGATGTAATTATGGGAATGATGGACCTCAGTGTTAAGCCCATTTATTTGTTCTGCTTTTGTGTGCAGAGGCAAACTCAAGACCAAGCTGGAGTCTGGTTGAGGACTTCTGAATCCTTTTGTGTCATTTTGTTCTCTCAAATTTGACAACATCACTCTCTCTCCTTGCAAGGTGCCCAAGGTAGGTAGCCATCTTTCCTGTCTGAATGGTGATGAGCTTTCTCCGGGCAGGCGAGAATGTTGTTCCATAGGACCGTCCAGTCAAGGAGGAAACATGAAGGGACTTCCCACCATTCTCTGCTAAGACAAAGCTTAGCAAGTAACTACAACAGAATTCAAGTTGGATCAATTTAAGAATTCAGCAGAGAGGCTTCTACCATACCTAGCAGATCGGAACTTGAGCTCATGGTAACACTGCACAAAGCTATGATAAATGAAAGTGATTGGCAAGGCTAGTAAAACGATGCCACTAACCACACAGATTCCTCCAAGAATCCTTCCTGGTACTGTGATGGGACACATGTCACCGTAACCAACTGTGGTCATAGAGATGATCACCCACCAACAAGCAGCAGGGATGCTGGCATAATCCTTATTCTTAGTTCCCAAGTCCAGCCCATTTTCAAGCAGCTGGGAAAGTGCACTGAAAATTGCCATAGCAACACAGATAAAGACAAGGAGCATCACCATCTCTCTGTAACAACGCTTCAGAGTCAGACCAAGTGTTTGAAGGCCAATGAAATGACGAGCCAGTTTAATCACCCAAAAAATCCTCATCATTCTTAAGACCCTCAAGGTGACTCCAGCCCTCTGGAGCTGCGAATTTTCCCCTGTAAAAACTGTCATTAGAACAGAGATGTAGTAAGGAGTAATTGCCAGTAAATCAATAATGTTGAGAGGTCTTCTGACAAACTCACACTTGTTCTTTGAAACGATGAACCTCACAATGCACTCTGCAGTGAACCAGCCTATGCAGATAGCTTCAATTATCCTGTCAAAAAAAAGAAAGCACAGCATTTATGTTCTGTGAAAGGGCTTTGGTGGAGGTTTGATGTTTTTTTTTCACAGACATTACCAAATTGACATTCAGACCTTCACAAATGACAAACAGAAAGCCACACTGTTTTTATTCTGAGCATGAAGCACCAGATTTCAGCAAATAACCTTAGGATCTAATGAGGAGTTTAAACTGATCTGTGCTAAGACCTCATTCACTGATCATTTTCTGTGGATTATGTATGCCTATCCTAATACTGGAGAAATATGCCTACAAAATCTGGGACCCTAGACAAAATGGTGTGCCATCAATGCCAGTGTGTAACATAATCTAAAATACTTCATGGTTTTGTTTTAAATCTGCGAGGCTTGATCCATTTAGGAATGCCAAGGACTGTGGATCAGTGAACTGGTGATGTGTTGATCCAGATTGCTAAACTAGAATGAAAATGAAGATGGAGTAGGTGGAAATCAGCTATTGCATCAGATAATTCATGCAAATTGGCTCTTTAAGAACCAGCTGAAACCAGTCTTATTTGCATCCCAAACAGGGGCTTACCTAGAACTATACTAAACTATATTCAAGATTTCATAGTATTGCCACTGAATACAGATAGTATTTTATTCTTCGCCATAGGGTAAACATAGTACCAAAGTAATAATCTAGTATGCCTTTATGCTGAACGTTACTGAATTTTATATTTTCTTTTAAATGTAACTCCCTCTAAACTGTGCCATAACAAAATGTCAGGGAGCAAAATGATAGGCAGGATTGTCTTCTCAAATACAAATAGCTGCCTTGATAAAAGAAAGCACTGCTCTTCTGGAGGGTGATTTCAGCACTCTCTTGAATGTTTTAAAGTCCTGCATGAGCATGTGAGACTTGAGAGCATTTCCAAATTGAAACTTCTACGTAAGGTAGAAACAGAAGATAAATTTTCTCTGCAATTATTTGATAACGGTAGTGCACATTCTGTTGAATATCACATCTCAAAATAACCCTTTTCTTTAGGAAAAACTGTTCAAACTGTTGTCACTTGCTTAATATTGGATGGAATGGCAATTAATATTTCCCTCTTTCCTTTGTTTGCTTTCACTAACTTTTTGTGTAAAGAAAAAGCCACTCACCAGTACCATCTCTACCAACAGGTCTGACACCTAAGTGACCTTAGAGTGGAGACCTGAAAATACTAGATGCAACTTTTTTCTACTGCAGGTTTTCTAATAAGGTATTGTCTATAGGAAGAATAATGATTTGTAAGTAATAATTTAGCTGTCACTTAAAGTTTTGTTTCCTTAACACATTTACATATACATACATATTTACTGTTTCTGAAATCTGTTGACATTGTTGTTAAGACAGTGGGCTGCTAGAGAGACAGATTCTTCTATAACTGCTGTAATTATGTTAACAGACTATAAAACAACTTTCATAAAAGCTTCATGCACTAAAGTCTTGTTTTAACTTTGTTTTATTCCTTTATTCGCTTCAGTTATATACTAAAAAGTAGAGGCAATAGTAATAGTCAGTTGATGTATATTCATAATGTATGCTATGATTTCAGCCACAGACCTTGTAATGATCTTATTTGTGTTTCACAAATACCAGTGAAAGCCCTGTAAGCAAGGAGCCTTTCTTAATAAAGGGCTTATAAATTGCTTGTTCATGTTAGCAACCTCTGATGTAAGGACCCACGAATTTCAAAAATAGCTTTACCTTAAGAATTATGTGTTCTCTTAAACACTGAGCCTTTGAAGACACTAGTGTTCTTGTGAATAATAATAGTGAATGGTAAGTAGGTCAGATCCCAATTTGGTTTTAAAAAGAAAGTTCGGATCGTAACGCCTTCTAAACAAGTCTTGTACAGAATATATGAAAGTTATTGTATGAATGTGAATTATCGTCACATTGAAAAATCAAGAAAAAAATGTAATTGGGTAAATTCACTTCACTCATTTTTTACAGACATGGCTAGAAAATACATAAAGCTTTCTTCAGTAAAAGGAGCCAAACAGCGAAGTTATAGTAATGAATAAACTGATGAAGGCTGAAAGTGCTTCTAAGTTGGCTGAATCTTCCTGTAATTATTACAAGAAATGTGGCTGGAAATAAATTTGCAGCTAAGAATTCAATAATGTCAACCAACTTTGTTCCATTCCTGGTGAGATTTCTCTGATAATTAATTAATTAATTAATTAATACCTGTGACCTACAACACTGAGCATTTCAATGAAAAAGCCATTCTTAATTTTACCATTAAAAATTGCTATATTTGGTATTTCCTCCTGATGCCCCTAAAACAATGGTGGTGTAATTCCTCGATTGTATCCCAAATTGGCAGGTTATCTGTGAGTCAAATCTTGAAGAAGCTAGGTCCTAATCACTGTGATTCAGTAGAAGTTATCTTTATGAATCACAATTGATTGAGTGTTCTGGTATAACTTTGGGAAACAGTTGTGCAAGTAAAAATCCATGTTAGATGAAATGTGATGAATCCATTCTTTTACTCCAATGGTCCTGAGCATGAGAGATACTGTAAGTCAGTTATACTGCTTTAGGAAGGACTGAAGAACCTTTTATTGTGGACTACAAGAGAGCTAAGGAACATCAATGATGTAAAATGAAAAGCAAGATCAAAATAGTGGAGATGCATTACATCTGCTTGACAATATATTGCACTTCCATTTCTCCATATGTATATATATATACACATTTTATTAATCAATCCTTTTTCTCATCAATTTCAATACATACTGGCTTGGGAGCTGACAAATAACTTAGACACAAGTGAAATGTGTTGTTCCTCCTCTCACTTTTTTTTTTTCCTCATTTGTAGATGGATTTCAACCATCCTAATGAATCACCTAAGAGAGTAAGTGATTTGGTGAGCACAACTAGAAACCTCTGACCTGTTGTGAGACCTAGAGTGCTACATACTATGTTTCCACTTTCAGATCATCTCCCTCTTCCTTATAGTGACTTATCTTTATAACTAAGTTATATCCTTGTTAATGGAGAAATAATACTTAATAAGAAAATTAAAATCCTTAAAAGAATTTATATCAAGCTAAGGCCAACTGAAATTCACTAAGAAGACTAATGTTACCAAACTGTAATCAATTCTTAAAATATTGCTGCATGTTCACATGACAGACTGCCTGTTCCTGAAATAATAAGCTGCTTCAGCATCTGTATCTAAGTGTATAATTAAATCATGAGCTTTATTTGGTAAAATGTAATACCTGTTCTTGTTTAGTGTATGTTTGTTTTATCCATTCAGTTTTAAAACAGCTGAGATCCAAAAAGGAGACAGGAAATGAAAAACAAGCTCATGAAGTATTTATTTGATAACACCCCAGAAAATCTGAATAACCAAAGAGAATATGAAGTTCTAATTTTTAATTAATTATAGGTTATTTCTGCTCAAACTTACTGTTCATTGGCCCAGACCTAAGTCAGATAAAAGACAATGAGATTTTGTTGTTGTTGTTGTTGTTTTTCAAGAAATTGCCTCTTGATACTTAATGAGTCTTTTGGCCATAAACTGGCAGTGAAGCTTTTCTGAGCCTCACTTCCTCTGTAATCCAGTCTGTGTTTAATTTTCTGTTCCGTCTGATAATTTCCTTTTGGAATAGGCAGTTTTATGTACACTAAATAAAAGTGCTTGCAAAATATTTTTCAATCACTAACAAGACTAGTTTTGCTATATGATTTAATTTTTTTTACTATAATAACATCGTAAAGTGTTTAAGCTTGCTGTTATGCCTTGGCCCAATGTGCCAGTTTGTATACTTTTAATATCTCCTTGTGATTCAGTTGAAATCTCCCCAAAATATTAGTTTGTGGCACTGTTACTGATTGAGCTTGTAAGTAGAACATAAACATCAACAAGACACGAGGAAAACGTGAAACAGTTAAAGACAGTCTATGACAGGATTCAAGGCTGTCAGCACTGATGTGTTAAATTGTTGCTAAATCCTATTTCCGTGTCACCTGAAGAACGTCCAAGAAGTAGCCAGAAAGATCAAACTCCTGCTCAGGAAGACTGGTCATCATTTCAGCAAAAAGCCTTTTTTAATCCTTTTGAAATCAACAGGATTTCTGCCTGCCTACAAAGTGCAGAGCAAGGACCATAGAACAGCCAGTTTTGCAGGCATTTTCCCTTCTGTCCCTGCTCTGGTAGCAGTAACTCTTAATGCATTAAATGTTGGTTAGTGCCTGCCTCTTGGGGAGGTGCAATGACCAGCAGTGCCTGGAGAAGAGGAAAATGCGCTTCCCAGCTTCCAAGCAACATCTGGATAGGAGCATTCCAGCCCTGAGGTTCCTCAGCATTTTTGTCACATTCTTGGAACATGGGATTAGCACCCAGCCTTGGTGAGATTGTTCAGGTTCCGCTGTGGCCAGGGAGTGAGCACGTCCATTCATTGTGTTATCTCAATGTTTCAAAAATCTCTTAAATTCACAAGAAGAATCCACATCTGGGTTTTTAAACTAAATCTGGAGTTCTGTTTATTACCTTCAGCCTGCTTTTAGAATTTAGGGAAAAAAGGTGTTTAGATTTTCTCCAAAAAAGAATTTATTATTTTTATGAACAGTTGTTGAGCAGGAACGTTTGGGTGTTCTGAAATAATAATGATTTTTGTGCCTCTAAAATTCAAATGTAACTTTTTAAGCTGATGTTTTGCAGACAGAAAAAAAAGCTGACTGGCATCTGTTGAGAAATGCTGTTTAAATTCTTTTGCCTAACAACACAGCAATCATATACGAGTGACAACTGAGAGATTATTTCAATGTCAATTTAATCGTAAGTGGAAAAGAGGCAACAGTCTCTTTTTATGCTACCTAGCTACTCATATTAGTCTTAGAAAAATAGTAGGTAGAACTGCACTGGCTCTAAGTCAAGCAGCTTCAAATTACATCCTGTCACAGGCTTAAACTCTCTTCAGAAGATGATGCTTCTGGTCAGTTTATGGATGGATCTGTGATCAGAGACTCTCAGAATGCAACTGTTGGCATAGTTCAGAAGAGAGCAAAGATGACTTGAAATTGCCAGAAGCAACAGAAGGGAGACATGTGTCCCTCCTGTCTGCTCCTAAACTGCAGATCTGATGCAAATCTTTAGTTCTGGTAACTGAAACTTGCCAAGTTAGGCAAGAGAGAGAAATCATAGAATGTGAGAAAATTTTAATAGCTCATCCCTCATCCTAAATGTAGACCTGAGGAAGGCAATCCCTCTTCAAATGAGGGAATTATGTTGTCTCTGAGATCTGTGAAATTCAGAGATAAGATTCTTCATCCTCTCTCTCTTTTAAAAGCCTTGGAGTTCTCTGTTGCCGCACTCTAAAGGGTGTTATTGTGAGGACCAAAAACAGATGCACGTTGTTCACCTTTTGACAGTCCTATCATAGTGAAAAGTCATAACAACATAAGGGTCTCCGAGAAGGATATGGGAAAAATTTGGTGGACTCAATTCCTCTTCTGGTGAAGAGGTGTTTGTATAATAGGGAGAAAAAAAAAAAGATATAAACACAGCTGGTATTAATTGGCAGCAGTAGTAACCCTTACTGCAAACATCATTAAAGAGGCTAATTTTGTACATTATGGAATTAGTTACTACCTTGCCCTTAGAAACAACGTCCAGGTATGGGGGAGACACCCTGGCTGAGCTGTTTCCACTACAGCTGCCCTAAGCGGTTCTGTGGGTGGTTACCTCACTTTAGCCACAGAAATGACTTGTGTGGCACCTTTCCAACCGTAAGTAACATAACACTGAGAAAAGGACAGTTGTTTGTTTTTATTGGTAAACCTATGAAAGACTGAAAATGTCAGCAAGATTTTAGGGTCACTGAATTTCCTGAGGTAATGCTCATCTGCTCTAAGTACTGATGGATACTGATTTGAATAGTCAGTTCTATCCAAAATCTCCCTTCTGTTAAGTTCTAGATAAACTCATTCAATTTTTATTTCTAAAAGATTTTGAAATGTGTTTTTAAGGATGTCAAGTCTTTGTACTGGTAACTACAGTGCTATATGTCAAAACCCATCTCCATATTGCAATGATGTCACAATTTATCCTGGCAATAAACATTATTGCATATTATATGTTACATAGAATTTCTTCGTTTCAGTAAGATGCCTCACTTAATAAACAAAAGACAGAATTTCACTTCAAACTTTTGGATGGCTAGGAAACCAGTGGCGAGTTTCTACGAGCATTCTCACAGACAGGTGGTACTGCCAGAGTACATCACTCTATGCACTGCTGTGCAATTTCTAAGGTCAGACTTTCAGGTAAGCTGCTCAGGTTTTGGAAACCTAAGGAATTGTAAATGACATGAAGTCAGATGACAACCAGATACATTAAGTCAAATCCTCTGGCAAGTGTCAATAGGTGCAACTTAACTGGATTGCTCAAAAGCAACGGTAGCTCACTCCTTTCCTCCAAACATCGCAGGCATTTTAGTCATTATGCAGCAGGCAGAACAAGGAAAGGAGTGGCTCTTCTAAGGGACAAGGCCACCTCAGGAGCAAGCTCTGAACAGGCAGGAATACATTCGTGCCTGTTGTCAGTCTGTTCACATTAAATTGCTATTGATTGACATACAGAGATAGTACATGGGCTAAGACACACATGAAATGAACCAGCCTGTGTGTTTGTGTGCAATGGACTTTTTCAAGAAGGTTAGAAATTGTTCACAGCAATTTTTACAGTTGTTATTGCCAATCCATAGACTACTACAGCTGCTTCTAAGGAAACTTACCCTATCGTTGGCAGTGCTCCTTTCCATTTTAAAAGCAGCCTTCCCTACCCTGGCAGGTGCTTGGCTATACAGAAAATCTCATGAGTACTTAGGATCCCAACACTTGTTACGCAATATACAATCAATCAGAGGAAAAAAACTACGTGCTTCTATACATGTTCTTGAAGACGAAGGTACTATGAAATAAAAATTTGGTCATCTGCCTTGTCCATTTGCACATTAAACTCTCAGTGAGTGGAAAATCGTTAATGTCCACAACATAAAGACGTGATCAAAGATATGGCCGAAGTGCCGTCTCTTTGATCACATTGGTTCTATGTTGCTGTTGCATGTATTTTCCCGTATCTAGTGGGGATATCTACATGTCCTGCCTTACATAGAGGTCATGCAGAGCATCCCCCATTTGAAGTAAGTCCGCAGAGGTTATGTAAGGCTTCCTAACTGGAAGAACGTGTAAAAGCAGCTTCTGACATAGCTGCATCTGGGCAGGAACCAAGAGCTTCTCACTCTGTAGCTGCTTTCTTGTTGTTCATACAATTAATCCTTTGGCTCAGCTACAAACAGAAATACAGGTGCACTTTCCATTAAGTTAATGGAAACTAGGAAAATACTTTCCAAGGAATTAATTTAGCTGAATGTGATATATCACATTCCAATTAACTCTATGGTAAAAGATGGTAATTTCATAATGACGGGGCTGCAGTTTCACTGTGGGGCCCCTTGAGCAGAGTAGAAGCTGAACACTTTTTGTTGAATATTCTATTGGTTTTAAACGAAGAGATGTGGGAAATACAAGAAGCGTTTACTTTAATTGGTGTTGTCTGAGGCTTATTTATGAGAGAACTCTTAGTGGAGCAGCGCTCATTCTGTTCCCTGGGAGAGCAGAAGATGGAGAGTGGTGATACCGAAGTCAGCAGTTACATGGCTGTAACCCCGAGCCGAGGTCACAAAGAGGAAAAACAGAGGGGTTGTTCTAGCTTGGAAGACTCGGAGCTGAGCCTAAAACCCGGGCTCTTGTTTCTGCAACTGTTTCACAACGTGTAGCGTGTTTACACGTGTTGTGTCTGTAGGAAATGTAAAAACATATGCTACGCTCGCCCAGCGGGGTACAGGATGAAGCATTTCAGGAGCTTCGCGCTCAGCCCGATGGTCTGCTTAGAGATGCTGAGTGGCAAAAGGGAACGGGGTGAGGCTGCTCCCACGTGCCAGATTTTACCAGGTCAGATCCGTCACGCTGGGTCTGCTCCAGCAGAAGGACCTGTGTGAATACCCGAAGTGTTTTCCCCAAAGGAAAGGAGAAGGGACCTGCGTTTTTTCAAGCTTCGATTCCCTAAATAGACAGTACGGTCTAACGCGATTTCCCGAGCGTGCGAACCTCTCTCTGTGGGTAAGGAGCCCCGCGGCTTCTACGAGGGAGGGCGCGGCAGCTCCGAGACGCTGCGCGGAGAGCGGAGCCGCGCTGTACCCGTACCGGCGGATCCCCCGGCAGCGGAACGCGGAGCCACCCAGGCCGTCGGGGCAGTGCCCTCTCCCCAGCCCCCGGCTCCCGTTCCGGCACTGGGGCTTTCCCCGCCGCGGCTGCAGCTACAGAGAACGAGTACGAGCGGCAGGACAGACGGGACGGGACACACGGGACAGCGGGAAAATAAAGGATCCTCCTACCCTGAGGGCTCCCTGACTGACTCTGCTGTGTACCTGCTCTGCTCCTCCACGCTGCGGTTCTCCGGCGCCCGCCACTCGGGTAGGGTGCTGGCGCACAGCACCACCATGGACACGATGACGAAGAGGATGGAGACGGTGGCCAGCACCTGGGCTGCCAGCGAAGACGTGGGCTCCTCGAAAGTCCGCCGCATCCTCTCCAGCCACTTCCCTCCCTCGGCCGCCGCCGCCCGCCGGGCTTTGCCCCTCGGACCGGCGCTGTGCTCTCCCGGCGGCTCCTCGGCCGAGTAATAGGTGCACGTCTCGGACATGCGGTCGTCGAGGCGGCGCTGGCAGCAGTAGTCGAGGTGGGAGCCCTCCAGCCCCCAGTAGATAAGCTCGTTGTAGAAGGAGAGCTCGCACATGTGCGGCACAAAGCGGAGGTGCCCGTGCCGGACGTAGAGCATGATGAAGCCGAAGGCCTCCGAGTGACGGTCGAAGAAGTACTCGTTCCGCTCCCGGTCGTAGTCGTCGCACACCTCCAGCACGTCCTGCTCCGACAGGCAGTCGTGCAGGCGGCTCACCCGCCGCAGCGGGAAATCCTTCAGCACCTCCCGGGAGAACGAGTACCGGGTGCCCCCGACGTTCAATACCACGGCGGGGCCGCGGCCAAAGTTCATGGCTTGGGCGGGACGGAGGAGGGGGGCGGGCAGGGCAGGGCGGCGAGCAGCGGCGGGGGACAGCGGTTACCCCGGCTCCGCTCGCAGCGCTCGGCGACGGGCCGGGGGGAGGAGGAGAAGGAGGAGGAGGAAAAGGAAGGAAGGCAGAGGGCTCGGGCTCCGCTCGCGGGTGCGGCCGCGGGGCCGGGAGCTCCGCTCCGCACCGCTCCGGTGGCGGTGCCGGGCGGGCGGGAGGCGGGGTGGGAAGGGAGGGGACGCGCCTCCCCCGCGCCGCGCGGAGCCCCAGCCCTCGCCTCGGCCCCACGAGCGTCCGCCCAAGCGCGGGAGAAGTTTAGGGTGTTTTACCCCGAAAAAGCTCAGAGTTGGGATTCGAGCGCTGCTCGCACACCGTGGACGGCGGCTGCCCGGCTCCGTCGCTGGGCTCCTTCAGCCCTCCTCTCCTGCACAGCTGGAGAAGGCGGCTGCGGCGCTCCTCTTTCTCTCTTCTCTCTCCTTTGCTGGGTGGACGCCGCGAGTAGTTTGAAGTCAATCAGCGCCTTCAGCCCTCGTGCCTGCGTTCCTATTCCAGCACGGCAACATCACCCCGCCAGCAGCTGGCAGCTCCCCAGCGCTCCGAGCTCACGGGTTCGCATCACGCGCGGGGAGTCCCTTCCCACCACCCCTCTCTCTGTCCGTTCGTTTCTCCGTCGTCCTACCGCAGCTCTCCCGGCCGCGCCTCTCCCAGCCCGGCGCAACCCGTGGTGAGGCTGCGGGAGCACCCTCGGGTCCGAACGGCGTTCACCGTCCCCGTTCTGTGTCGCTCGGTACATGTGTTTGTCTTTACGGTTGTTGTTGCCGCCGCCACGTTACTTTCGCAGCCGAGGTTTGCACACGTGTGAGGAGAAATGGACGGCCGAGCCGTTCTGTATCGGCGGCTGTGATTGAAAGGAGGAGGCGATGAAGTCGGCTATGTCCCAGCGCCCCGCCTGACCCCGCTTGGCCGCTAGAGGTCCCCGCGCGTCACTGTTCTGCCCGAGAGCGCCGGGAGGAGCGGGGAACCACCCCACGCCGGCTAGGAAGGTGGGAAGGTGAGCCCTTCAGCTCCTCATCAACGTCGTTCTGCTTTCTTTTGAGCATTCTTTTGGGCTTTTGATTTTCATACGGCTGGAAAAGTGTTTGCTTCCAACAACTGCCGCTGATTCGTGTGCTTTTTCTGCTTTTTAATTTTATAAGCAGCAAAAGCTCTTCTAAATCTCTGCACTTATTTATTTATTTATTTGCTTAGATGTGTATGCTTCTGCCCTTCATTCTTTCTGAAACAATTATTAGAATATCTGGTTAAAGAAAAGAAAAGAGAGAGAATAGCAGAATCTGTCCGGAGCTGTGTCAGCAATAAGAGATTATCTGAGTGCCTCCAGTGTCACGCTGTGCTGTGCCTCCTGCTCTGTACACCTCACCACCTGCTAGTTTGCTGTGAGTTTGCAGAGGAGGAGAGCAGAGAAGGCAGGGCCCTGTGCGACAGCGCAGCAGTGTGCCTTCGGGAGATCAATCTGAGGCAGAGGAGCTCCGTGCACCGTGAAGCTCCGTGGCAGAGCAGGTAACATGCTGACAGTGCTGCAGTCACGTTGTAGCTTGAAAGTAACCCAGCAGGTGAAGCATTACAGGTTCCTATGTGAGTTTTTCAATTTTTCTGAATACGGTGATTTTCTCCTTTAGATCAACGCTGGTAACCAAAACTAACTTGATGACAGCAATGTTGGTTGCCTTTTTCTTCCCTCTCTGTGGTCAGGCATGTTGCACTTCAGTTACTTTAGTTACGGTATTACCACATTTCAATAGTGATTTGCTGTATCTAGCTGGTGTCAGTAGCTGTAAGCCATGCGCTCCCTCACCAGGAACAGCAATTTGCTGGGAACAAACACTCAGATTTCAGTCAGGAGTTGAGATTTCCCAAAAAGTGTTCTGATCTGTGGCCCTCTGTGGCTGGTCATGCTGCTGTAGAAATGGAATTGCAGCTTTATTGGTCAACTCATGGAAGTTTGGATGTTTTCATGGGAATTACTTGGGCATTACAAGTGTCAGATCACTGTGTGTCTTATTTCCCAGGAAGTTTCACTGAGCAGAAAAAACTTTTGTTGT